GCACCGTTCAGTATGCAGGCGTTGCCTGCGGATCGAGGTTTCTAATGCAGTCGGCTAAATGGCCGTTCCAGGCATCTAATTTCTGTGTTTAGTTTTGGTCAGACTGAAAATAGACATTTAAAATGATTCAGGTTAAAATGAGGTTGTCGGAAAGCTGCAGGGAGCTGGCGTTAGTCACCCCGGTGTGTGCTGTTTTGACTCCTTGTTTAGCCGTAGCTCTGCGGCGGAGGTGGAGAGTGCCAAGTTACCATGAACCATAGGAGGACTGAAATGAGCCAGAATTACGTCTGTTGGCTTTTTGCATAAGGCCCGCTGTGACATTTGGAGTAATGGCTGGACCTTGTGATCGGCTGCTCATTTCAGCACTAAACTGTCCAGTCATTAGCCTAAACTCTCCACGTCGACCTTCCCTTATGGAGCTATGCGTTCTGAATTGGGTGCTAATTGATGGCATTTTCACACATGGGAGAGCAGGACCTCCTCTCATGCCGGTGATAGTAGCTGTCGGGCTTTTTGCACACAAACGCACGTGTTAAGGGCTGCATGTTCTTCCTGTGGACATGCACGTGGACATGCACACACCTCTACTCATGTCTCCTTGTCCTCCATCTGCCCTTATTTGTATCGCCATCCCTTTAACCTCACCCATCCAACTGTCCATCTCACCTCCTGAAATCACAAGGTGAAAAGCCACATTCACGCCGGACAAAAGCACTATAGGAGGCAGGATTACCCATACAGGCAAACACATGTTGCCCCTGCTTTTATCTGCTGGTTTTAATGTCATTGAGCCCTGCTACTGAAGCCAAAGTCCTCCTATCATCCATCTGTGACAAACCTAAAAGACGTGTGTACCGGCCAGACAAATGGTCATGCTATAGAGAAGCGACTAATGGCTGCTTGGTATATCTGGTATACAGCATTAGTCTCCAGATGATCCCCTTACATAACTTAAAGCTCTCGTCGGTGGGTCCCCTTCTCTTTGCACGCTAGCAGAGGAAGGGAGGGCTGAGCGGAGGAGCACAGACGGAGCACTTTGCGCTGACGAAGCCTCGGGACTCACAGTTGAATTAGACAAAAAGGAAAAGAGACAAGAGTGGAGGCAAAGAGGGGGAGAAGAGGGGGGAGTGAGTGTGTGGGAGGCGGGGTGACGCGAAGAGGAAAAGTGGGAGCAAGCGAGGACAGCAGTGGCAGTGATGGAGGGAGGAGGAGGAGGAGGAGGAGGAAGGGGAATGTAAGATGAAGAGGGTCAGTGGGAAGGCAGGCGGAAGGGGAGAGAAGATGAGGTTTGGGGTGGAGGGGGGCTGTCCGTGCTGAAGTGGATGAAGTGAAGATGGGAGTAAAGGTGAAGCAGAGTCAGAGAGCAAGTGTGAGGCTGAAGTGAGAGGATGGAGAGGTCAAGTTTAAAGGAGAAGCAGCGGACTTCCTGTTGTTATGTGACCACTCTTTCTCTCCGCTCTAAAATATCAGCAGAGCGAGGAGTTTTTCTTAAAAAGTCCGACCAAACAATGAATTTGGCTTTCGGGCATTTTATTCAAAGCAGCAGCAGCAGCAGCCTAAAAAGCTTTCCTAGCAAGTCCAATTAAAGGAGCTTTATTACCTTCACTTAATTGCTGAGATCTGGGAGCACAGTGGCATCATGTCAAGTCAGACTTACTGAGAAGAAAGAATGAAGGCATGTTAAAGTTAAAGCCCAGAGACTGCGTCATGCATCCATTACAGTTCAAAGACAGACTTTCCAGCTTTCCTGTGTTCACTGTTACTGTTAAGGTGGGTAAATCTGTCAACTTATTTTACAGGTTCAGTATTTTCCAGCTAATTTGCTGACATTTTTCTCAATTCCTTAAAAATGAGCTGGTTTGTAGTTGAAATTACAAGTATATTTCCAAAGAAGTCGGACATAATTAGGTAGTTATTACAAAGGAGGA